CACATTTTAAGAGAGTCTCTTAGTTTCATCAGGGTGGGGGGAAGCATGGGAGGGTCCAGCCTGGGGTTTGAAATGCCCAGGACTGGCGGGTAGTGAGCTGCGGTTCCCTGCGCCGGTGCCATGCGGGTCCTGCGGTCACGCCGTGGCGGAGAGCCGTTCCCACGGGTGCTGGGCCCAGCCCCACGGGTGCTGGGCCCAGCATGGACTCCTCCGAAAGCAGCTGGCAACCCTTGCCACCATCTCTGGCAGCAGACGCAGGAAGCCGTAGGCTGGCACTTCGGAAACCTGCCCTTTGCTCCTGCTTGTGGCACAAGCTGCCTGCTCACTGGTCCCTCAGTCACAGTCTGTCTGTACCTCCATCCACACCCTCACAATTATCCCTGCTGCCTGCTATCCAAAGCAATTGGTCTTTCTCCTCGTGGCCTGCATGAGGATCATCTCTATTTCACGTATCCGCTGGGCCCTGCACCCGGGTTTGCACGTTGAGGGCTGAGGGTTGCAAGCAGACTCTCTCATCATGAATCTCATGTTCACAGGGTGGGAGGAGGAGGAAGCACACCTCACCCCAAGTTACTCCAAAGCATCCCAGGCAGACCCTCACCCAGCTGCCCTAGAGGACCCATGGACCAGGCCAGTCGAGGCGGGGGTGGTCTATGAGTGTCAGAAATGGGATTTTTTTGTCTGAGCTGCTTCCTGAGGCACCTCCAGGGGAAACCTGCACCATCTGCTGCACACCGGAAGGTATCATGTAAGAGTACTCAGGAAAAAAACCCACATCGGAGTCACAGATGTCAATTAACTTTATTAGTTAATTAAATCAATTAATGGACTTAGAATGTGATCACATTATCTGTTCCTATACTTCCATTATTCACCACATCTTTTGAGGTTGCCTTTAGTTGCGTATCTCCCTGATCAGATATAAAATATCCACATAACACCATCTTCCTCGAACACAAGTAAAACAATTAAAGCAGAAAAATTAAAGTGCACTAATACAGAAGCCATCAAGGCAAGAATAAATATTAACAAAGAGAAATCCGTGTGTCTCAGAGCAGTGGCAATGTTACAACTGAAGATGCTTCTGATGAAGAGGGGTACCAGTTACCATCCCTGGACAAGGTAAGGATTGCTCAGCACAGTGAAGGTTTCCCTTCACCCTGTCCCACCATGACTGGTTTGGTCTCAGTATCCCCCAAACTCTTTTCCACTGGGCAGTCTTTACCTGTACAGTGTCTGACAGAGGGAATCGGGAAAACTGAACGTGAGCGTGGCGTGCTCGCGGACCCGCTGCCCACCGTTCGTGTCTCTCATCCGGGTGTGCAGGGAGCCACGGCCGCAGTAGAAAAGCCTCCAGGCAAGCCTGGGGCCTCACGCTCAGAGCTGATCTACGGACAGACAATAAATCAAGGTGCTGAGGGCAGTCTCGGAGCACCTCTCAGAACTGATTTTCCCCCATCCCCTGGTTCCCTTCCACAGACCATATTTGAGTCAGGTGAACAAAAGTGTACCCCAAGTTCTTAAGACATAAAACCACGACCTTTTCTACCAACCAGGCAGCATTTCCTCCTGTATTTTTTTTTCTTTGTCTACCTAGATCTTCAATTTCTCTTGCTGTCCAGCCCCAAAGCAAAACACATTTTTTATCGCACATGTGAAAACCCCCAGCCGTCCCGCAGCTAACGCAGTTGCACTGCCGCAAAAACCTCCACCTTTGCGGTGTTCCCCGAAACTCAGCACCCCTGGATCCTCCCTTGAGTGTTTGCCGAGGTCCCGTCGCCCACAGAGGGCACTGCTCGTAAATGTAACCCAGCAAACATGCTCCCACTTCACCTCACATCGGCGCTCCAGAGCCTGCAGTTTCCACCCAGAGCAAATCCAAACAGCTTCGTGCATGTCATTGCTGGCATCTCTGAGAAGAAAGGGAGCAGCAGGCTGATGTCACACAAAAGAATACGTTTCTACAGCACGTACCGTGCGTTTGTACCCACGCTGAGGTGTCAGGCAGGGGCTTCCCACTTTGTATCGCAGTGGAACGCCTCTGGCCCCCGCGAGCTGAAGTACATCAGTTCAGTGACATAAGGAACGAGAACTGTACCTCAAAGGACGTTTGATATTTCAGTATGCAACCATGCATGTCACTCTGTCTTGGGCAAGGTTGAGGGGAGGCATGCTCTTCCTCTGACCACAACTTGTGGACTGTAGATAGGCATTCTTTGTAACACACTCTCAAATGTCAAAGATAAGTTTCTACTCAGTCTACTGCTGCAGCCGGTAGAATATTATTCTAAAGTCCCCAGTTCAGGGGTAAGGAGATAAAAGCTTTGAATATCAGAGACACTGACCTCCCTGATAGGAATTTTACATCTCTACTTCCTTGGGTGTTGGGAATTCAACTTGTATTTCCAATAAAGGATCCATATCCAGTTTGTTGAGCCTGCTTTTACATGTGCAGAGAGGTAAGTGCAGGTTTATGCAAACATCTACCAATAGAGTAAAAAATCTACAGCCTTCTCACCCTCCTACCTCATTTTAAGTGATGCAAAAATCCCAACTATGTGCAATGTATGCACACAGAATAGAGCAGCCAACAAAGGAGGAAAAATATCTGCCCACCTTATATCCCACTTCTGCGCTGCCTCCATTGCCTGGCACGCTCCATAGGGACATGCAGGAATGTACTCAAGGAGGGGGACATCTTACAGGACAGTAAATGAGAGTACTTTGTGCTTCCAGTCCACTGAGAAAATTGCTAGGCGGTTGTTTCTTTAGATACCAGGCCCACAGTTAAGCTGAAATAAAGTTTTACTCATCGAGTCCTCTCTCCTAAGTGCATCTCAACTTCTAATTAGTTTTAACACAGCCAAATGTGCTGAAAAATAGCAGCTAGAATTTGCCTTCAATCCAAGGGGGTGATGATGGTAACTTTTTGGTATTCCCATATTTAAAATAAAACCATTGTCAGTTCAGTACAATCTACCTTTTTCATTTCTGTCTGATGGTCCCATATTTCTCTCTTACAAACCATCAAGATTGTTTCTGTCTTCAGAGTCTCTCTAGAAGCTTCAGCTCCTCATCTTTTTGCAGCACAAGGAACCTGGAGAGGGATTAGAAACTAATAAAATGTTGGTAATCACAATCATGTATTTAATCACTGAAGCACTCCCTGAAGTTACAGTACTCCAGCTAGAGACCAAGTAATGCAAGGCCAGTACTCAAGTTCCCGACATCACACTTTTATAACCTGAGTTTCTGCTTTGGCTCTTGGAGTTACATACTCCTGTGCAAAGTAGATGCACACTACTAGCACAAGTCTCCTCTAAATAGTAGTGGCTGTTTGCAGTCTTTCTATAAAACCAAACTTTGTCCCACTCAGAAGAAAAGGAGAGGAAGACTCGGTATAATGGGTTGGGAAAGGTCATACCTAAGCTAGCAGCCTTTTTTCAAAGGAATATTTTACAGTGATTTAAACCCACTTTGTGTTAGGTTTGGCTAGGTGAGCTGCTGGGTCCACAGGAACACAGTACAGCAAAAATTTCAGAAAATTTCCTTTTTTTCCTCTGTCCTGGTTTCGGCTGAGATAGAATTAATTTTCTTTCTGGTAGCTGATACAGTGCTATGTTTTGGATTTAGTATGAGAATAATGCTGATAACACACTGTTGCTTTAGTTGTTGCTAAGTAGGGCTTATCCTAAAATAAGGATTTTTCCGTTTCCCATGCTCTACCAGCAAGGAGGTGCCCAAGAAGCTGGGAGGGAGCATGGCCAGGAGAGCTGACCCCAGCTAGCCACAGGGATATTCCATACCATAGAACGTCATGCCCAGTACATAACCTGAGGGGAGCTGGCTGGGGGGGTAGATCGCTGCTCAGGCATCAGTCAGCAGGTGGCGAGCATTGTGCGTCACTTGTCTTGGGTTTTATTTCTCCCTCTTCTTGTTATCTTCCTTTTCATTACAATTATATTTTATTTTAGTTATTAAACTGTTCTTATCTCAACCCACTGAGTTTTACTTTTTTTCCCCAATTCTCCTCCCCATCACACTGGGAGCAGGGAGGAGTGAGCAAGCAGCTGAGTGGTGCTTAGTTGCTGGCTGGAGTTAAACCACAAAATCCCCCCCAGCTTTAAGACTAATTCACCCAGCGAGTTTCCCTGCAAATGCACCGTTTCAAGAAGACCGTTTCCATTTTAATTCATCTATCCTATTAAATCCACATGACCAGTTCTCGTTGAAGCTCCTGGTTTCAGGAAGAGGTTCAGGCCGAGAAGACAACGTGACAGGGGAGTAAGAGTTTGCTTGCTAGCCCTGACTAATTCAACACATCGTAGGAACTGAAACTACAGTAGAACTCAATGGCGTTAAACAAGTTCCACTTAGGTGAAACACTAGAACAGAAACCCCAGGGGTAATATCTGGCCTCTCCTGAACGTACAGCTGGGGAAGGGCTGTGGGCCAGGGCCTGGGCTCTACAGGCAGCCCTCAGGGCGCAGAGCAGCGGATGCCAGCCCGCAGCCCGCTCCGAGCACATTTATTTTGCCAAGCAGGCGCTAAAGCCAACCTGCTGGAGAGACCGGCCTGGCGCCGGCCTGCCGAAGCCCGGCCTTGACGCGCCTTAGGCCGGCTCTGCCAGCGCTCGGAGTGATGCACTCCCGTTTGCGGGGAGTAAGGGCAGGCTAGCTTCAGCCCGCGGGATCCCACGGCCAGCTGCTCCCCGGGGGCGCGCCTGCTTCCCGCCCACGAGAAACAAGGGGCAGCTGGGGCTGGTGGCACAAGGGGAACACACGCATGGGGACAAACGAGGACTGGCCTTGTTAGGGAAAAAGCTGCCACAAAAACAAACGCGGGGGCGTCTTTTCTCTGTTTCAGCAGGTGCAGGGTGTAAAGCTCAGGTGTTCTGTAAAACCCCGCAGATCTGAACATCTCCCCTCACGAGCGTGAGGGATCTCACCCCCACTCACCCATTTTCACACTGGATGGCTGTGATTAATAATGCCAGGTGGTGACACAAAGCAATTGGTTTATTCAGATCAACCTTTTAATCCCATCTCACCCTCAAAATAAATTACCAAATAAACTCTTCCATGAACTATGCTCTAAATCATGAGGTGGTCACAGGACAAAAACTTCCCATCAGAGGAAAGGGAGAAAAAAAAAAAAATTACTTTTTTGGAACTTGTTTTGCTTTCACCGATTTGTTTCTTTCCACGATGTTAGGATTCTGCAAAATTTTAATCTGATACAAAAATCACAATACAGTAAACAGCAGATTCTTTGCTCAATCACACATCAGTTAAATGATCCTAAAGCAATACCAATACTTTAATAAGGGACTTGCTTCTACAAATCCTGATAAAACCATTTCTGGAAAACAGCCATTTAAAAAAATGCTTTAGTTGGTTTTGATGTGTCGTACCAGCCTGTTTTACTGGGCTAAGTGGATTTAATAAAAAAAAAAAAAAAAAAATCTGACACAGCATTTAGCAGCAGGTTATCTCAATGAACAACAAGCTCTTAGAAATTAAGCCTCAAAACATCCCTGTAAGCCCAGGACTTTACAAGCAGGAAAACTGGCATCAACAGGCTAAGCCACATGTCAAGATCATACAAGGGCTCTGTCTTGACTCTTGTGATGATCATATCACATCAGCAATATTTTGTAGAGAATGTTTTACTATGACTGATTTCTGTTCAGGTTTCATATTAGTGTTATCCTGCTGGAAAGCAACCCTTCCATAAGGCGGGATTTTTTGACTAGAACAGTCTGATCCATTACAAAGCTTTTTCAGCTTTAACCCATAACTGCGAGCTTTAAAACGCTAAACCTGCCTGGCTCCTCAGTTACTTCGATACCAAAATGGAAGTGCTGCATCACACTAAAACCACACAGTAGGGCTGATGTAGCAGTGAGCACCAGCTGCGCCATTAGAGCAGCACAACTCCACAGATCATGGGGTGCGTGTCCCTTCTCTTATTCTGGGCTGGGTTTTCCCCCTGCTTCTCCCCGTCTTTTGTTTTGCTTTTACTTGGCTTTAGATTTTGGCTTGGCCAGTTGTCAGTGCTCCCAGACACCTACTCCCAAGGGACTTGTCTTGCCCTCATTACCAGCAGGCGTCACGTGGAAGGATGTGAAATACCCTTGCTGCTGAGCTCAGGCCACAGTCCTTGCTCCAAGGATTGCCGGTGAAAGCCCTGCTCCCCCTTCTCCCTGCCAGGGCAGAAGTCAGCGCCAGCACCGTCCAGCAACCCCATGGCCAGAGTTTTCTACTTGAATCATCTCTCTCTATTGCCAAGAGATGAAAAGCTTCTCCTGCCAGTCGCCAACAGCACCAGGCTATTCGGGCAGCTGGTCTAACTCTTTACTAGATGCTTCTTCTCACACTAGTCACAAGATTATTGATTAATAATTGTATATTTCTGTAAAAGAGCAAAAATGCTTCTCTGTGTGAAAAAGTTTAAATATATAAAAACACTTCATAAAAATACTTATTAAAAAAAACAAAATGCCCCATGAGCCTGTAAACGTTTCCTGTAAAATCTCTCTCAACTGGAATAATTTGAAATACAGTCACTCAGGCTCTTTTCTTCCCTGTCCAGTAAGATTTTAAGATAACCACTAGAAATGCCACTTCTACTTCAACCCTCATCCCACCAGTTTTTCTTCTTCTTTGTTCATTTCCAATATGACAGTTCAATTTCCCAATGTCGGCAATCTTCTTTGGAGGCATCATTTGTCTTTGCTTTTAACAGAGTTCTGCATGGCCTGATTCTGAGGCTTTCTAATGGAGTGCGCTTGAGGTCTGATCCGTAACACGAGCAACGCCAGGATGCTTAGAATGTGCATGTGAAAATACACAGACCTGGGAACAAAAGCAGAGGAGAATATTATATTTTTCTTGGTAATAACATGAATTGTGCAACCTCAATAAGTCCATGCAGAATTTAGTGCTAAGGTGTCCTGGTTCAGGCTGGGACAGAGTTAATTTTCTTCCTAGTAGCTGGTACAGTGCTGTGTTCTGGATTTAGTATGAGAACAATGTTGATAACACACTGATGTTTTAGTTGTTGCTAAGTAGGGCTTATCCTAAGTTAAGGATTTTCCAGCTTCCCATGCTCTGCCAACAAGGAGGTGTCCAAGGATTTGGGAGGGAGCATGGCCAGGAGAGCTGACCCCAGCTAGACACAGGGATATTCCATACCATAGAACATCATGCTCAATATATAAATGGGAGGGGTTGGCTGAGTGTGGAGGCGGGCACAGATTGCTGCTCGGGGACTGGCTGGGCATCAGTCAGTGGGTGATGAGCAACTGCATCGTGCTTTACTTGTTTGTCTTGGGTTTTATTTCTCTCTCTTTTTGTTATCTTCATTTTCATTACAAATGCTATTATTATATTATATTTTGTTTCAATTATTAAACTGTCCTTATCTCAACCCACAAGTTTTACTTTTTTTTTTTTTTCCCCCTATTCTTCTCCCCCATCCCACTGGATGGGGGAGGGCCACGTAGAGGTGTGAGTGAGCGGCTGCATGGTGCTTAGTTGCTGTCTGGGGTTAAACCAAGACATAAAGGATAAATGCAGAAAGTATGAATCTGACCTAGAAAGTGCAAAAATACACCCCTGAATTTCACACAGTCTATGCATGTGGTATATGCTGGCATCGATGAACATGTTGCTGTGGATGTTAATGAGGCAAGGAATCAATCAAACGCCAGAATTCAAAGTCTGACAGCTCAGATAAACCCATGCAATTCAACCCCAGACTTACTCAGCCCATCTCTCCTTTAATCTTAGAGTGCACAAGGCTACATTCTGAAGAAACATCCCACATAAAACTTGCACAAGTTTTTTAAAAATAAAAGTGACAGAAAAAAAAATTCATTCCAAGTGCTGAGATCTGAAATAAATCAAAACATTCACCTGAACTGGGGAAGGTCAGGTAATGATGTTTACAGAAGGGTTGTGTTTTTGAAGGCAACTACTCAGAGATATCTTTAGTTGAGATCTTATTAAACATCAAATATTTTTACTTCAAACAATTCAGTATACAGAACAGAACAGAAATAAACAGAACAGAAATAAAAGATACTTAAACCAACTACATGAGGCTCTGGCAGCTTGGGGATAATGACATTTGGGAGTCATATGGTCCAGCCCTTAACCACAGAGATGCACAGATGCACCTTCCTACAGTCTTATTTATGCTTCTTATCACAGTTTTTAATATCATTGTAAGATCCTTAAGACCACTGTGACGCATGCAGTGTTCCAAAAAATTAATGCCCTGGTCCAAAGGCCTACAATTTCCTTGCTTAACAGTCTCTAAGTTTAAATGTTAACTATGTTCAAAGTCACTAGGACAAAAAATAGTAAGGAATTAAACTAAGAAAGATTGGAAGCAATTTTTGTATGGTAAGTTTTCTGTGTTGAAATCAAATATTTTAAGAGACAGGAATAGAATATGTCAAAATTCAAGCCCCTTCAGACAGACTTACTGGCAGCAGCTACCTCGACTACCAGATTTATGTCTTTTATGTTGGAGGAGGGAATTGTCATTGTTCTCAATCAAAATCTGTTACTCTAGTGTCGACAGATCACTATAGAATGAAAGAAAAAGTAAAGCGATGCAGTCCAGTCTCCCTTTTCAAACTATTTTCTCAATTTCTCTATCTCAAATTGCTTTTTATTAGAGTATATTCAATATACTCTGCAACACCAGTGTTTTCTTATTTTTAAGGAACCTAGGGAAATACTCATTTCCTATGGAAGTATACAAAAGGAAAAGCATACTCATTTCAAGAAGTAATGCTTTGCCAGGCACCCTCTTATCTCCTGTTGACTGATCACATCTCCTGTTCTACATGTTCAGTATCTGGAAACTTGGTCGTTTCTCATTGAGTCCTTCCTACTGCCATCTCATGTCACTCTTACCCTCTCCAGCCTTGGCCACTGTTAACTGGTTGAGACTCAACTGTTTTGAAAAAGGAAACTGAGTATGTGAGAAGTCACATAAGGACACAGAAAGATTGAGAAGCACAAGCGAGGTGCTCTGCCTTGGCATTGTTATTATCATCTCAATTAAGATACAGGAGTGCAAAAATCACCCCTTACACATTATTAAGCATCCTGTTTGAACTCCTTTCAAATTCGATGAAATGACAACTGCCTTTCAGTGTGATTTAGGTTATCTAACAAAAGTCTGGGCCAGTCGAGAGAATAATAGTCAAGAGGAGAGAACTTACTTGTAAAACTTAATCGTGGGCTCAACAGCCAGCATAACAAATGGTGCAACAGTATAGCACACGGCCAGTTGAGTGGCAACCCAGGTAACAAGGTCGTAGGCTATCTTGAGAGGCACTGACGAGAGGAAGTAGTGTCTGCAATTGTTTCTTATCTGCAGGTTAGGGAAAAGTAAACAGAAAATTATATAAATCAATTCCTTAGGCAAAGTCACGCAGGTGCACTGTAGCGCATTATTCCACTTATCATCATTAGTATTACAGAAAAGTTTATACTCCAGTTAGAAAGTACTGAGAGTAGGAAGACAGACATGTATTGACTGACACGTCCAAGATCCCACAGTCAACCAGTGGCAAACAGAGAAGCGTCCCCCAATTTCTTCTGTCATAATCATGGGGGCAGACTCTCATGCTGGGTACCTGGCACAGTGACTTTGGGAAGGAGAGTTGTTATGATTTGGTCATCCTCTCTCCTGGTTTTGATTTATTACTGGTTGTCAACAGTGAACCAAAGTTACTTTAAATGAATAAATATGTGTTTATATTTGCAACCGTGTGCTGTTCCCTAGAGCTTTCACATCTATGAAATCCCCCAAAATGAGAGGCAAAGAACATGTTAAGACTGCATGTTCAGCAACCTGATCTAGACATAGTGGTTAATACTGATTAATAGTTTAAAATCACCTTTCCAATTGACCTGGCTATTTATCCATAGTCAAACTCTGAAAGACAACGGTAGTGCTTCCAAGCTCTGCACAACCAGCTGGTTCAGGCTGAAAGATCAGCAGTGATAAATTTAATAAGTGAGACATGAAGCCTGTTCTGTCTTTGGTGACTCTACCCCAAGTGAGGCCCATAAACACAGAGACCAGTTTACTGCATCAATGTTATGTGCATGAAGGAGTTCAAGTTTGGGCTAATGCTCAACCCGTAACAGCTTCTTATGGTAAGACTGAGCCCAGAGCCAATTACAGGCCAGCATATAGGCAGCATGACCAAGCAGAAAGTCTGGACTCCAACACGATCTTGAATCCCTAGCTAATTTGATTGCATGGAGATAGCCAGTGGCAGGATCAACTGTACACCCACAAGCAATGTTTCCTCTGACAGTCAGGGACAGCACTGCAGCACATGCAGAATTGGTGCTGGTGATAACTGCTGGGGATGCTTTGTAATAAGCATCAATACAGACCAAAGTTTCAGTGAATATCAAGCCCACAAAGGCGTGAAAGAAGGCTCTCAGCACAGAGAGGCTGCTTGGCTATGTCAGGGTGGTCCCTGCAGTTGACAGCTGGACAGTATCTAGCAGGGGCCTTAGAAGAGAACAATGAAAGGTACATACTGCTCTGGCTGCGAGTGTGATAAGGATTCCAGTGAGAAACGTAAAATAGTATCCAGGATAGATACCATGCCACAGGGCCGACAGGACAAACGTTAAAGCCGTAGGGTACCAGGGAGCTCTGTCATAGCAGACACTGCAAAGACGAAAACAAAACAAGAAGAGGCTGAATACCACTGAACAATGGACACTGCACTTCAAATCCTTCTCTGTTTTTAAGGTCTTATTCTGTTTTCTTAATAGTCTTATCTTGCCTCTGTTACAGATCAGGGCATGAGGTGCTTTCTCCTCATTTAGATGGAGGGTTAGATGGAAAGAGGAAGCATGCTTTTATGCACTGAGTATCCAGAAAGCGTCTGTACAAATATTCCGAGCTCACAGCATTTAAACAAATAGCAGAGCAAAGGGCAGGCGAGACTCCTCTTTCACCTTCATACCTCTATCTGGAATCACATGCTGCCCTTCAAAACTCTGATGGCAGATCAAGAGTGAGCCAAAGGACAGAGAGACATGACCTCCCCTTTCTCTGGTAGAAGGGAGGTATTTTTTAAGCACTGTTATCTGGCAGATGCTGGAATTACAGGGAGTGTTGTAAGCTATTGCAAAGCTGTGGATTCCTGCTAAATTTAACAGTCCAAAATCTTACTGCAAAGATGCAAGCAAATGATACCAGTTCAAGAACGCAGCAGCTGGTCTATTTGGCTATCTGAAGTTTAACAGAAGTTCTGTGTTCCAAAGAAACGGGTCAAGATAAAGCACTTCTTACCAGGAACGTCATCAGAATCATGAAAAATAGTAGATGTTGACTTTTAAGATGTATATATTTAACAACAAAAATAGTTATGATGACTACAATAAATTTCAGACACTACACTAACTGTATGCTGAGTTTTAAACATGCCAAAAAGTGTAACAAGTAGTAAGAGACAGTTCAATCTACAGAATTAGGACTTATGCTAGTATTTATATGTGCCTTAACAGTCACGGGTTAAAATCAGAACCCCTCAGTGCTATAAGAAGTCTTTTCTCTGTATCCTAAACAGGGACTCCCTGGCAAGTATCTTCTGTTAACTCCAAACCAGACTAGACTGGGGCCATGAAGATCTTGACTTCTCTCCAGTTCTAGCTGAACTGGATCCCAGTGACACAGCAATGCTCACCTCCAGTAGTAATATCCATGGGAAACAACATAGCAAAGTGAAACAGTGCAGTGAGAAACAGAGGCAAACAGCAGCCTAAAAGGTGCCAACAAAATGCTATTACTTTTTATTATGGAAGATCTGAACAGTTCATTTATGGCTTTGCTGCTCACATATAAAATGCAGGCATTTTACATTTGCAGCAATAAAACTTTACAGCACCAAGTACCCTTGTATTCCACCAACTGTAACAGACACAGGAAACCAAGAAAGACCAAGAGGCTGTACATTTATAAGATTCACCAGTCAGCGCTTTTCCAGGCCATCCAGAATTTCTGGGTCTCACAAGCAAATTACTGTTTCACTACTCTTACCGTTTTAGCCAGGCAGCTGTCTGAATGTTCCAGTTTTCAATGTACATTTTAAAACTTGTTGCAGTCTAAGAAAGAAGTTCACATGAAATGTTAGCACTGAAACCTGTAAAATAATACTTGCATTTTAAATTAGAGAGGAGATACATGGAAAAGATTAATTCTAGTAGGTAACTGTTGTGAAGACTGTGCCACAGTCTATCATTACACTAATACGTTTTGGGAGGGTCATTAACTAGGCTGATTGCTCACAAGTGACACTTGTCACTGGCTGTAAAATCTCACTTTGTTTTGTAAAATTAAATACAATGTTTGGTTATTTTTCAAATTACAGAAAATCTGAAAAGCTTTCTTGTTTTAAATGCTTGGCCTTCCCTTCAGTTCATAAACAGCTTCATTTTTGGAAGAGATATCTTGCTACCCATTACGCAGTCCGAAATTCCCTAGAGTGTTATTAAAACAAATTGTTAATAAAACTAAAAGAAATGCATTATTATTTTGGGAAGGAAGGGGGAAGACTGAAAAATCCAAACCAAAAAAAAAAAAAAAATCTTAGGACTAAATTTAGAAGCTAATTCTCAGCCCACTGCCCAGCTTGAGAAACCAGAGTGGACTCCAGGGTCCTGGGAGAACCCCCTATACCTGGTAACCCCCAGCTCTAGGGGACTGCTAGATTCTGTTCAGCATTGGTTCCCCTAAACCTGGTCAACTTCACCTCTGGTGGTTCCCCATCCCTGCTCCCGCCTTGTTCCTCTCCTGCTGACAGAAACCTCCAAGGATCTCCTCACAGAGCAGGGCAGTGACACCACATTATTTTCCCATATCAGCTGAAAGCAAGGGCATACTGAAAACATGGCAAAGGGGCATATGCAGATATTTTTGCACTTCCATGCAGAATCCTGAGGGCTAGCACTTCATCCTCTGTGTTTAGAGAGTTAAAATGATTAGCAATTCCCAATGCAGTACTGACACATTTTAATTGCATTACTGCACCAGGAGAAGCCAAGAAAAGTATAATTTCTCTTCCAACTAATATTGTCACTCTCTTTTGGCCTCCTTTAAGTTCCCCTGTTACATTACCAAGAGAGAAAGTAGTCACTGGCTGACAAAATACACATGCTGCCACGGCTTTCAAGCCCCCCACATGCATTTAGCCCCCATCACATTTTAATGCCCTCACAACTCCTGGCACATGCTTATCTTTACTACAGATCAGGTCATTTCTTAGCCACATTTAACTCTCAAGTTCCCAACTCTTAAGGAATTTTACATATGCAAGTGGCTACAGCTGCTTAAAATACACTGTACAATCACACTTAAACTATAACTCCTGGAATTGTTGTTGGTGCATAAGATGACAGTTCAAGGCTTATTCAAAATAATGGTCTCTGCAGCCTCTCTTTTTCTCATTGCAAACATGACCAGATCAATGGAGGGCACTCTGTTTTACTCTCCTGGCAATAATTTCTCCACCCCGAACTCTACTGCCCATGTGACCAGTAAAGGAAAAAAAAGTTTTGAGGGGCCTTACAGTTCAGTGGGTAGAGAGGAGCAAACACTCCTGTTTCCTTAATTTAGCTTGATTAAAAAAGCATTGCTGGCACTTCATGTGCCTCCTTCAAGCAGGAACTGCCTTGGCCCATCAAGGCAAGGATCCTTTCCTGCCCCAAAACTGAATCAGATATTGATTCAAGATCTCGGAGTGATATCTGGTATGTAGCCACCATTGAGGAGTATAAAGTATTTCTGGGCTGTGTATTCCGTACCCCTCAAGCAGACATGTATACTAAGGATTAATTAAGGTTTGTTTGTTTTTTTTTTTTTTAAAAAAAAAAAAAGACAGAGAGAAAGGATGTTGAGAAAGAGAGATTGTATAATGATATTTCCAGCTTTGGCATCTTTCAATGAAGAATTTAATTTTTGAGAAGAGATATTATAGTACATTCACTTAGTCACAGATCATTTAGCAATAAAGCAGTCAACTTGTTTTCATCTGCTTTTCTTTTTAAAATCATAACTACAGGATTACAGGGGGAAGCTCCTCCTATTTCTAAAGAAAAGAAGCCTTTAGAAAGCAGTCTCAGTCACACAAACATTTTCACATCCCACTGGCATTCACAAAATATTCTTCAAGGCAAAGAAATTACATCGGCCACCCTTTGCATTACAGAAACAAACATAAATAGCTTACAAAAGACTAATGGATGTTAAAAGTACGCTGCAGTCACAAGAAACATGTGACAAATGTTTTGAGAAACAGTGTGGTTTGCTGGATGGAGCTCTAGATCAGCAGCCATCTAAGCTGCATGTGGCCCTGGCAGCTCCCGTTCAGGTTGCTCGGTTTGTACCTGTTCTCTCTACAACCCTTGTTTTTCACCGTTTACGAGAGGCACCCCAGGCATGTGCAGGGACCCAGCCCTTGCACGTGCCTGTGCAATGACTGCTCGTGGTGGCCTCTTTCACTACCATCACCCATCTCAACTGGGTTACAAAAGTGGAAGACTGCTACAAGTAAATAAACAGAATTCACCACAGATGGTGAAGAATCATAGCTGCGAGCAATTTATTGACCCACTGAACTCAGCTACAATCTACAGTAATTGACTGCTCATTTATTAAACATCTGATTAATCATTTATTAGTCCTCTATAAACTATTTAGAGATGCAACCTGAATACAGAGCATGACAAAGGCTGCATGACAGATGCTTTTTATCTGCCCAACAGGCAAAGTATGAAACCTCTCCATGTTAAAGAGGGGCAGCCTAGTGGCATGGACATATTCCTGCCAGCATGCATAGTTCTCTATAATTATGCCAATGCAGCCACTTCTTTAACTCACCTCAATATTCCAGATATTTAAATTGGACAACAGGTCCCAGCGGAAAGCGCCCGTCTCATCAACTCCACTGAATCCATAGCCAGCTGCATTGTTGACTGCATCTGCTGCAATGCCAAAGCAAAAACAGGTCAAATCAGACTGCCAGAGGAGCCACATTTTCTTACAAGTCAGTATGGCACCAAATACACATTCAAGACAGCTTTGTAGCAATTAGCAACCTCTATTTGAAAGAGAAGCTTCCTCTTGGCAAAAGGGTATTGCTGTAAGGCAACACAAAAGTCATTTCCTCAAGAGGAAAGACTAGCTAATCCTTGGGCACAAGAAATAAAAAACTAAAACAATGGCTATAAATCACTTTTCCCATTATTTTGCCTTTATTATCTATCTGAGATGGATGTACAAGAGTTGCCATAAAATAAATTAGCATTTTCCTCAACAGGGTACCTGGATGTCACAGCATTTTCCAGAACTCAGAAAAACCACAGAGTGACAAAGACATGTTTACCATTCCTATTAAGAATTTCAACATGATTGTTTTAATTGTGAATTACTTCCTTTCATACTTCTGCAGAAAAAGCCTTTTGCTAATCCTGTTGCTCAGCACCTCCCTAAGTACCTCACCATCTCTACAAATCAAGTGTCGAGTAACTTCGATGACAGACCTAACTACTTTAAGTGCAAATAAAAGCTTGGGTAAGGGTAGGCATTTCACATGCTGTACTCTTGCTCCTTCCCAGGGTGCCGGTCAGCTACCTCCCCCCTCAGCCTTGCCTGGCACCCGTCTCATCGCCGGGTCTCAAGATTCTGCTTCTAACGTGTCCCTGGCAGAAATCCTCTCTCGCTGTCCTAAGAACCCAGGAGGTACTCATTACCTCTGGATCACCAGGTGCAGACAACACCAAGGATTTTTGGAACAACAAGGAAAGTGAGAATAAAGATAAGGCTCTTTCTTCTAGACCATTTACAAACTACAAGCCTGGTTAAGTTACACGCTAAAAAAGTCAGCATTTCTTTCCCAAGAATGAAAACTGATTTTGCTTGTAAGTGCTATGAGTACAAGCACAAGCTCACGGAGGCATCACAAAGCACAAAACTAGGGAGAGAACCTAATTAAAAGCAGCAAGAGGGACAATAAATGAATAAATAAATGAGCAACCTTCTCTAACCTGAAACTTCCAATTCTATTTTCCACTTTACTAAACGAGCTAGATTTTACTGGTGGAAATGTCAGTCTCCAAGTTTTCAATTCTCCCTGTTAAAAAAAAAATAAAAAAAAATACACAAACCAAACACCAAAACATCCAATAACCCTGTCTAAAATTATATTTACTTTATGGCCTGCCAGTGTCTTGCTATATCAGTAACAAGCTGCAAGGCCCGTAGCACCCTGACCAATCGCAGACACTGTAGCTGCGCCCTAAACCGTCCCCCCTGAGCACGGGGACTCCTGGATTTGCTCCTCCTTGCTGCTCCAATGTGTGGCAGGGACCGCTTAGTGTTTCTTTCCCAAAAGCAAGAAACCAGAAATTCAGGGACGTAACACCACAGCAGACCCGTCTGCTCTCGCCTCCCGAGCTGCTGTCTGCAGGGCCAGGTGGGAAGCGCAGTAGAAACGGCGCTTGTTCACCCTCGAACTGCTCACGACAGCCCAGCCTCTGCGAAGCCCTTTCCCTGCTGCCACGGCTCCTTGGACATCGGCGCTTGGTCCCAAACTGGTTTCATCGCCAGCTCTGAGTTACGTTTGCAGCCACGTTCCCATGACTATTGCTAACGCAGCGAGAAGCCGGATTTTCCGTCTTTCCGTGGATGTGGAGAAATTCAGCAGCGTGGCTCTTGCACAATAGCGTGACCGCCCTTTTCTGAGGACAGCAAGCGCTTAAGTTTCAGCAGGTGTTTTTATAATGCCCTGGGCCATGCCACCAGGAGCTAAACTCCAAAAGGATACAGTGCCTGCTGTTCTGCTGCCTGGATTTGAAACGTGAATAGCCGAGGCCTCACCCTCCAGTATGCAACGCATGCTTTTCCCAACCCCCTCATTTGTAAGATATTTCTACAGCCTCTACAGCTTAGTCACGTCACAAATCCAGGTTCAGTCTATCTCTTTGATAATGGACTTTTAGTCAACTATAATGCTGGGGAAAATGGAAGCAACAATTTAACACTGGCTCTCACAAATATAAGCTTCTAAGCAAGCAGTTCTTTATCCCAACGCCTTTCTCATCCCATGCATGCCAGTCCTGGCTGTCTTCCCTCAATCTCTCAGGTTTTTTATTCCCAGCAGTTTAATCACAGACTTGCAATGCATTTCCCTGGCTCTTTCCATCCCATCTCAATGACACTCTTCTCAGTTTCAGGTGTATGCATTGCTGGCCTGGCTTTCAAGATCTCCCCTACACACATAGTCTTGAAATACCAGCAGAAAAAATTCAGTCTCTCAATCATCAGCCTGGCCTAGAAGGATTTGACTCCTCACACACAGATGGGAAAGGTGGCTTCTAGAAGGAAAAAGGTAAAATACAATATTATTTTGACCACCAGTCTAACTGGCTCCCAATAAGAGAAATTTGCTTCTCTCTATAATTAGGCATCCTCCTTTTCTCCTTTTCCACGCACAGATTCTTGGGTCCTTCCCATCACCTCCTTTGCTCCCCACCTTGCCCATGGTTCTCCACCCCTTTTCTCTTGACCACTCAAAGCCAACACACAGTACAGGAACATGCAGTGCCTCAAGAGGCAAAGCCTAACATCATCCCCCCAACAAGCACTACAGCTTTCTATTACAGATGCCATGTGCTAAAGATGTCCCTAAAGGAAGGGAGAGGTCTGCTTGGGCTGAAATGTATTTGTAAAGCCTGAGCCAGTGTGATCAATTTTAACCTCCCAAGCCCACTGATACAAGTGACAAATAATGAATAAAGCATAAAGATCACAGTTTAGAGAAGGCAAATTATCCCCCCCCCCCCCCCCCCCCCAAAGAATTCCTGTAATATTATTTTGGTATAAATAAAAAGTTTTAATAAGAGGAAATTGTTACATTGACTTTACTGGTAAGAAGCTGGAAAGCAGATTTGGTTCCAGAGGCAGGGGATGTCAGACAAGCTAGAAGAGATTATATGCACATTTTTTCAAAACTTTTGACATCTCCCCACTTCAGTGGGATCCATTGCCTACAGGATCACGTGTACATCTCCCATAGGAAGTACAGGTCTAGGGACTAATTCCTCCCCCCTCCAATGTTTCAGACCCCCTCCCCCATTAATGAACTTATTGGTTACCTACAAAAATAAGTGATGTAGCCAGACTTACCTAATGTCCATGCAAAGTAATACTTTGGTTTTGCTGCCTGTGTTACAACATACAGGTAACCAAGTCTTGACAAGAAGGGTGTTTTATCAAGAAATTCATTATCAATAATATATGTCATAGGAAAGTTCTTGGTAAGTGTCAAGAATAAAATGAGAGATACTAGTGTGATACACAGCTTGTACATCACTGCTCCCTAAAAAGCACAAAACAATGCAACATTGATTAGAAACATTTGCTTAAAGAAAAAAAAAAAAAGACAGTAGTCATGACATACAAAAAAAATGTGCTTCAAGAAGCAATAATAAAATTAGCAGCAACAAAGTTGATAATAATTAATTTAGAGAGGTAAGAAAGAAAAGGCTACAGTCAAAGCTTTGGTTTAATTTATTTTACTGAACTGCCTATAGGTAGGTACAAAGGACAATTGGTGATGAACTTCACAAGAGACTCCTACATCAGTTAGAGAACGTCCTAAAATGAGTAAAGATACCAACAAACAAAAAAAAAAAAAATCAAACCCTACAATGTAAAGGAAAAATCTTCCCTAAATGGACTGTTGTCTCCTGGAACTAAAGACTGGATCTGTCCTGGGAGCCAAACCCATCAGTATTCAGTACAATAGTAGGTCTTATTGCCCAGTTACTGTCCAGAGGTCTTGCTGAAAATCACTCGTCCAAAAAGCATACATCTTACACAGCATGCATACCTTCCCGTGATATAGGGTATCTGCTACATCATACTGTTTTCTATTACCACTTTGTAGCTTTCCATATACTAATATTATTGACAATCATGTCAGTGGTTAAAAGCTCAATTTCAAACACACATCAGGAGTAAACTCTCCTTGATACAGTCATAATTAAAAAGGTAAATCTGGCACTTGGGTACCATCTAAAAATTGACTTGTTCTCAAAAGACTAATAAAAGTGCAATATACTATTGAAACAACAATGCATTTTTTAGTCCCAAGTACTCTTTTTATACCTCCTTCGCATTCAGGAATTAATGTGCAATTATCTTTAAATGGTTACAATGCAAATTTTAATAATCTCTGCTGACTTGCATTAACACAATACAGGCCTTATTCTGACCTCAGTCAGACTAATGTAAGTCAGAAGTAACACCACTGAAGTCAGTAGAAGTACAACCATGTGCAACAGGAATCACGTATGGATAGGTACATCATTTCAGAGGAGACATTCTGCACACACTCACAAAGCTATATATTCAGTGTTGACTTGAGGTAACAGAGAAGAATCTGGTTCTTATGGTATGTTATCCTGCCTTACAAGAAGGTCATTTTATAAGGAGGTCTTAAGTAATAACAAAAAAATCTAAAATAAAATTAGTTGTTAATTGTATATGAAAAATGACCTCCAAATAATCTTAAAGTCTTGCAAATCACCTGGACAAGCTACAGTTTCTGAGTAGCCATGATTCATGTATTTCTAACATCTCCTGCACTATGGGTGATATTTGATGATTTTTTTTTTTTCCCATGACATTTCCTCTTCTGTTTGAAGCTGAACTGCATCTCATCATTGCCAGAACCTGTAGACTGTTCCCATCACTGCATAAAGGACAGCCATTAACCAATGACCTGCTTTGCAAACCAAGCGCATTTGGGGAATACAAGAGGAAGATGCTAGCCCCTTCACCCCTGACCCTGTGATAAAAACAGCAGCCACTTCACACTAAAAAAAAAAAACACAAAACCCTCTGTAACATTTACTGGGAAAATAATCCAAAAATAGATTTTCTTCTTAATTTTTAATTATGAGAATCCTGGACAAAGCTGTACTCTCCTGCCCTTTGCAATAAATCTCTGTCATTTTAAAACTTACAGTTGGAGAAGGATCAGGAAGTCTGTCATAACCCTTCTGCTTCCAGTTCACTTCTAATAGTTTCATGTGCACATGCCTCCCTTCAATGAAGGCTATATAATCCTTGTAATTGCTGCAAGGCCCAGCTATGATGCTCATAAAATTGAGGAGATAGCTTAAATACTCCAGTAACGAAGGTCTTGTCCTGTGAAAATCATCCACACATGATTATACAGGAAAAAAAAACAAAAACAAAAACAAAAAAAACCCAACAAAAATGGAAAACCAAACCAAACAAATCAAGGTAAAACCCAGCAAAGGCTTTCACAAATGCTTTTTGTTGTACTGTCTGCCTCAGTCCCCGGGTCTCTCCTACCACCCTCCCTGCAGCTGAAAGCTCACTAGATGTGTTTTGAAGAAGATAAAGCACAGCCTCTCATATCCCAGTGATGTCTGGCAGATGGCAGTCAGAACAAGGCTAACGTGGAAGTGCTTAATCTACAGGTGAACAAATGCTCTGATCTGAAAATTTGTAATCTTATTACTAGAAACATTTTAGTTAAAAACAGTCATAAATTTAGATGCCCACTCTCAAACAAACTGACTTGCACATTTTGAACAGGCCAGCAGTACCAGGAGCGAGAAGCTGGTGACTGTCTTTGCACATCTGTCCAGTATGTCAGAGACCAGTAACGGCTGGCAGACCACAGGCTGAGTAACACCGGTCTCACCAAGCTGTGCAATGCAGTACCTTGCCTGGTTGTGCAAACCACAAGGGAGGGAGCATTGAAGGCCAGGACTCTGGGGCTTGAGAGCAGCTCTCACCCACCCTTCAGTTCAGCCTTTTGAAAAATGGGAAGTGTGATGTGAGACGTAGAGGAAGAGAATAAAGGGTCATACTGTCCTACTGTGCAAATAAAGGAAGCAATTGCCTGTATTGCATCATGAACAGGAAAAGGAACTAATGGGGGAATACACATAAATCAAAAGACAGCTGAAGATAAAAGCCAGGAAAAGTCCATCGTGTTCATTATTTCCATTTTGCAAGTGCATATCCCACAAGGTCCTTGGGGGGTTTTGCATTAGATGAAAAATGAAGAAGATCCACTGTCCTTGCTACAGATCAGTAGGATGGAAAAGAAAGATGCACAGGACTCTCATTGCTAGCGTAATTCATAAGCTGTTGGGCTTGCTTTATTTATGAAACAGAAAACACCAACATCTAAATTATGCACTGAGATACACAGTGCTCTCCACAAATGTGCTAACAGTCACCATCCAAGTAAATAAGGAGTCTCCAGATGAGAACAGAAACTAGGGCACAGGGTTTAAAGACTTTCCTGTCCAAGACACAGATGGACACGCATAAACCAAAACCCACTTAAAATTCTTTCAGACCAAAACATAAATTTCTAGCAGAAAATCTAATCAACAGTTAAACATTTGTTGTTGCCTACTTTAATTCTGAAGCAGAATTAGTTTGAATAAACAGTTAGCTTAGCCAGGATTTTCTGCATTCACCCTCCTGGTTATTGTAGATGTTAGTCCCTGAATGATATGTTCTCTGGTGAAAGCATTTCACAGAAAGATGCAGCAAACAATTTGGGTTAAGGCTCATCTTTCTGTTCTGAAAAATCAAGTCCGTGATATGAGTTTGAGTTCTACAGTGAGATTAAAAATAAGTCATTAGTTTCAACTTAGATTCTGCACATGGGTGGGTGGGGAGACATGAGCAATGCACAAAGGAATGTACAGAGGATGAGTGAGAAACAAAAACAGACCAAGAACAGGAGGCAAGACAAAAGTCTGTATTACCAAAGGGGATTTAAAACTCTTCAGTTATGACTTGTCTGCCACCGACACTTGAGCTATTGGCATGTACTTTTCTACTATGAGCTCATCCACTGTACAAGGGGGAGAAAAAAAAAAAAAAAAAGCCTGTTGTTTGGTGAGAATTTGACTAGAATGAATCATATGGTCACAAGGGCCCAGTGCAGTTAAACATTATGCTATGATCTTTAAAAATAGACACAAAGCTATGGGTCACAGCAAAAGTTACACCAGTCTTCCTATAAGCACTTCTGCTTTTCAAGAAATTACTCCCTTCTTACTTTTAGAAGCTCAAAGGCAGATTTTCTGATTGCTGAATCTTCCACCTTAGAAATGAAGGAAATAATTTCCTTGGCCTTAAACACTTAACGGTAAAATGTAGTTATGGTTGGTACTTGTGCTGGTAACTCTGAAAAATTAGACTAGTCACATAATGTGAAGGACTAGGAATCTTAACATTATGGACGGAGATAGGAAAAATAAAATTCCAGTGTCCAAGAATAACAGCAAATAAAAACAGTACTTAAAGTGTCAGAGCCAAACCAAAATGGATTTTTACTACACAGTGGGTTGCTGACAGAGGAGGAGTATTTTACTTGGAAAAATAGCACATCATAGATATGATAAAGACAACAGCCTAAAGGTCTATATAGTACAGTCTTAGCCTGAATATGAAAGAGTTGATTCAGCAAAGACTAGTTTTGTTGCACATGAAGTATATATTTAAGTCAATGAGATGTTGCCAAGTACTCCAGTGCTTTACTGACCAGCATAGGGTGATAAAGGCAGAAGTCCATATAGCAGAGAAGCTATGTTTGTGTAAGGATGGCACTGACAGCAGCATTAGAAAAACAAAACTGCTCGAGCAAATAAAAAAAGGAGGTAGGACTTCTGGCTTATCATGGACTAGAAAGAAGCAGGGAACATTTTCATGGCCTGGCCACTAAATCAGTCCTGTCATTGCAAAGGAAAAAAAAAAACAAAAAACAAAAAAAAAAAAAAACAAAAACAAAAAAACCCACAATAACAACAACAACCCCCCCCCAAAAAAAACAACCAAAAAAACAACAAACAAACCCACAATCCAAACCCTGAACTCCTTTGGATGAAATTTAACAAAAATCACCAGGGGAATTAAATTCTTACTTTACAGCAAGCCGATTTTGCTCAGCAGTGAGTTCCTCAGCTTGTCGCCCTATTCCTAGAAAGAAAAAAGTCACATTAGATCTTTCCGGAAGCCAAACAGTGAAAGCTATCTCCAAAGCCTAATGTTTCCATCCCACAGATGGCTTTCTAAAGCCATAAGATTCAAGATTTCTTTGTCACAGGCAGTTGCAATACAGCTCAGTTCCTAACTTTTAGGTCAAGTATATACATGGCCCACCCTACCTCTTTACCCAGTTCCTTACATCATCCCACTTTTCCCACCCTTGCTACGCTTTCAGGAAGAGCAGCCATAGTATTCCCACACATGTAATGCAACTCCCAGTGCCACCAACTGGCAGCAAGCCCCAGCAGCCTCTAACAGTCCTGGGATGGAAAACCCTCTGTTCCCAGAAGCCGCTGGCTCATTTAAACACGAGCCTCCCGCTGGCTCCTTGGTGAGAAATGGAGCATTTCACAGCAGGAGAAGTGGGCAGTGGAAGAGAAAGGGCTCTCAGGGAACAGAAGCTCCACTGGTGTGAACGAGCAGCCTGGCTGCCTGCTGCCAGAGCAAGCTTAAACACAAACATCAGTAATAATCTGGAACTGTGCAGGGTCCACACTGGAAAGGCGACCTCCCGTTGAGTGCACAAGACCTTTGGGGCCAGAGGCAGAGCACAGCCTCGCTGCCCCAGGAAAACTATGGAAAAACCATGTACAATGGCCAGTGTGTAAACAGATGTTGCTCATAGCAAGCATCTCAAACCTTCACTCTGAAGCTTCAGCTGCCCATACTGTGAGAAATCTCACTGGCTTCAGCAGAACAACCCATGGCGGGATGAGTCACAGCACTTGATGCTGAGCATGCACATACACAGGCTTGGCATCAATTAACACTACTGTTCTAAATGTCCTTAAAAGACTGCTGATAAGCTGCTCATTTCCATTCTCTCTGTTATTTTCATTTGTAAATACTGTGAGGGCATGAGTTCCAGGGAAACTATTAAGCACTTAATTACTTAAAGGGCTGGGTATTTTGTTTGTCTGTTTCCATTTATGGGCAGCTGCGTTAAATTTTTACAAATAGGAAGTTGTCACTGATGCTCGAACTGCAAGCTGCCTCCATCTGACCAACCGCTCTGTATGTGGATCTTCACAGCGTGGCGAGCCTTTTCCACCAATCTGGGGGATTCCTGGTTTGCTTAAAATGCTCCTGCCTCTGCCGTTACCTTTTCCTTTCTGTCCATTTACCTTCAAAATTCTAGGTGTGCAATCTAGGCTGCACACCACTGGGGCACACAGTGATACCTGAGCTGGCAATCTTAAATTACAGAAGTAGAGAAGCCCCAGCAACATGAATGTCAATGACAAGGTCAATTAGCTGAGCTACAAGCTGCACCCATGACAGCCAGCTAAAAGCACTAGACTCACTTGCATAAACTTGGCTTGCAAACAGTGCCAGACCCTGCAGCCTGTGGCATGGCCATCACCAAAATCCCAGATCGTAACAACTCTACAGCAGGCTACAACGCAGTGGGCCTCAGACCATGAGAAATTCACACTGCAACATCAGCAGACGTGAGCAATAATGGTACTGATGACAACTGACATTTCTAGTCTTTGCACTGTACTAGACACAGGCATTTTACTGGGAAATAATAGTGCTCTTTGTCACAGCACAGCACAGGACTGAAGACAATGTTATTTTGCTTGTAACTGTGCTTCTTCCTGCACTGGAAAAAAGCTACTGAATTCCATCTCTCACAATTCATGTAGTATACGATCACTGAATGTATCAATGATAACATATTTTCGCTACGTTAACATTAATGACTGAACCTAAGTATCAAACACAACTCTTGATTTTTGATAACCAAGAACAGCTTCAGAGAGCTTAATGGAGGTGCACTGTAGCATCTAAAGAGCAGATACTGCTACTAGCTAAAATCCAAATTGGGCCCCAAGGAAGTAGAGCACCCAAAGGGGAAAACAGTTGTCTTCATTAATGCAAAGGCAGTTTGATCCTAGAGGACTGATCAATACTTGAAGTTTATCATTTTCCTCCACAAAGCATTTTTCTTACTCATTTGGAGCAACTTGCTGAACTACACTCATCCCCTCTGTAACTCAACCACAGAATGTGCTGGAATAAAAAGGCTGTCTTTGGGACACAGGAAGAAATTTCTTTTCTTACCATCATGTAACTGGCATGCAAGTGTCGTGATCTTCTGTGTAATGATCATCAGCGGACTATAACAAAGACAGAATCAACAGTTACCTGTCTTGTAATACAAATTATTCCCAAGTTTCTTACTGAATGTCTTCATCCCTTTAAAAGGCATAACTGTATTAGCAACAAGTGGCAAACATCCAGTTAAAACTAGAGGAGGAACTCAGGCATAAGACAATTGCCTGGGTTCAAAACAACCCCACAGAAACTTGCACTGGAATTTTTAATTGCTAAGGGCTCACAAAACCTTATTTTACGTCTCCCAATCCTGCAGCAGTGCAAATTGTGATTCAGAAGGAACCTCACCACGAGGAAATGACAGCATCTGCAGCCCACTGGGCTTCCTTCCAGGCAAAGACCAAATTCAAGCCCCATATGATGCAACACTAGAATATAGCAATGCTGCTGTAACATAACTGGCTCTTCTTACTGTTACTCTCCTATTGTCCATCTCCTCAGTGCCCTAGAAAAAGTCAGTTCTACAGATACACAGCTTATTTACCCATATGAAGAGCCCTATCAATTAGGACTGCATGCTCACACCAGAATAGCTGTCGGCACAGCAATTCCCCACTTACTTCTTGGCCCTGCAAGTGCCTTGTGGACAGCTTGTCCAAAATGTACCATCCAACTGGGAGTGTTTGGGCACGTGGGATCTGGAGCCTCCCAAAAAACATGAGCTAGCTGTACCTGAGCCATGACTTACAGGATACAACCACCCAGCAGCTTTGCGGCCAACCAAACAAGCAGCGTAGGAACAGCCGCTCTGTTCAAGAGGGGCCGCCTATACTTCCAATACCCAGTTTTACAGAGTTTCTTAGCACTGTAGGCAAATGTGAGCTGTTGCAGCTAAGGAATAGAAAGAAGGCAAAACTCAGCTTAGTGGCATCAGAAGCTGGCCCCTAGGAGCGTAAAGGACACAGCCAGGAGCATTCAGAGTAATGCATGTATGTAAAACCAGTTCCACAGAAGAGATTTGTGTTCGCTGAGGATTAATACAGTGGATTGTTTCTTGATGTAGTGATAAATTATCAACATAAACCATGCAGAGGTTTCTGCTTGAACACGAATTATGTCTTCGACATGGAAATTAAAAACCAGATTTCTGTGCATGCTATTTACAGAGTTTGACCAGCATATGAAACTTTTTAAAGAGATGTAGATGATTACTCCAAATATTATGGCTATACATTTTAAATATTGTAATGTATTTTCTGGAACTCAGTGAAAGAAAAAAAGATGAAGGCTTTGGTTTTTTATTTTGAACACTGTTTTCCCCACTGATCTCTCAAGGTGAATTTCACTTTTATATTCTCACATTCAGTGATACCTGTCTAAAGTAACAGTCAATTATTCATGTTCTGCATAGATTTTCAAGAGATTCCGAATCATCCTCAATTAAATCAACCTACTGGTTACAATCAAATGTAAACCCAATGGCTAAGATAAACTGTTTGCAATCTGATTATCCCACTGTGATAAACCAAACTGATTTTCAAGATAATTAATATGCTGAGCATGATAAACACAAGAATACTGGAAAAAGACATTCTTTCATTGTAAGTGGTCTTTTTTTTTTTTTTTTTAAATACTAAATATAGCTGATCTTTTTCAAGAGTCCACATCTAATTCTGCGTGGGCAGAATAATTTGCATTCTCTACGCAAAAACAGAGAACATGCAACATCAGCCAATTTCTTAATCAGAAACTATTTTTATCATTTCAGCAGTCTCTACTTGAAATGTCAGTAAAAAAGCTTGCACATAAAATCCAGAACAAGCTTAAATATACACCGATCTGGAATACAACTATAACACAAGGGTCACCCAGAGCACTGACTGCAGCTAAGGAACGGACAAATTCAGCAATGACTTTTCACTTTTCAGAAAACTCCAATATTGTGAATCAGTCATTCTAATTTTTATTCCAATTCACCGTTTAAGAAACGCTATTTATAAGATGCTTTCACCATTATCTTTGACATCCTTTCTCTCAAAGTAGATTTTCCCATTCAGACAAAATTTAACTTTGCTTTAAAAGATAGATAAATCTGAAACCTTTAAGCATACAAAAGCAGATTTTTTTAAACCAAAGAGAGACAGAGGCTGTCAGTGAGCCAGCAGTTCTACTGCAATAAACACAGATTTTTATTTTGTCAGTGCTTGACCTTTTAGCTTTATGGGTGAATGCTAACACTTGTTTCAAATTGGTTCAATTTGTTGCATATGTTTCTTATGGCAAGCACTTCATGCCAACACTGAAGTGGGTAACTTTAAACCTCAGGCTCAGAGCCAGAATCACATGTCTTTAAAGTGCCTAAACTTAAACACTTGTCTTCGAAAATTTGGCCCCCCCACCGTAAGCCAGAGAGATCCAAAATGCAAACAGTCCTGGTGTGCTGACTATCCGAGGGAAGCAGAAGTGTGGTCTGCGCTAAAGTTGTACAATGTATAAACACAGAGAGGAGCGGGGCTCTCTTCGTCTATATTAGGAATCCACCGCCTCAGTGACGGCACGCTGCAACCCAGCAGAACAAGTCGGCCTCCTGCGTGTTGTGGTCGGAAAAGACGGGCGGTCTGCCTCCCTCGTATGCCAACTGCAGAGGAGACAAGCGAGCACACAAGTGATGCTGCTGACACCGTGGGTGGGAGGGAGACCCACAAAGAGCATCTGAGATACCTTCAGTTCTCTCTCCTCCCACCCTCGTATTACACATCTATGTATCTCTTCTATACCCTACGCGGGAAGGTGGAAACCTGCCGTACAGTGGCAAGGGGATGACTCCCTCTAAATCCTTCACAAGATAAGTATCAGAGATCATTAAACGTTTCACACTAAAGGTAAGCAAAGTTTCAGGTGAACAGGGAGCATCTTCCTCCTCCCTCATCTGTCTACCATTCCCCCACTGACTTGATCTCACTGGGGGACCAAGCCTTTGCTGCAGGAAAGGGCAGAGCACAACAGAACAGTGGCAGTTCTGTAGCTCTCCCTTCTTCTGGCACCCCTTTGGGGTGTGGAGGCTCCCACCTGTCCCGTTCCCCCCTGGGGACTCATCACACACACACACACACGCAGAGAGCACGTCTAAGACTGTTTTTGTTTCTTCAGAATAAAAAATAGTCATTTCCCCCATATACACAGAGGATGCAAGTCTTGAAACAATACAAAAAATTAGGTAAGAAAAATACATTTATTTTAGGGGGGAAAAAATAGCATCGTCATTTCCTAAATCCACATATGAGTTCTGATTACTAAAACTTGGCAATACCAGAGTATTGAATTGTCACTTCTGTTCAGTCTTTCAGACAAGCTCTAAATTTAAACAGCAATAAAACATTGAGTAAGCTAATACATAAAATATATATCACATATAGTCAACTGTTTCCAACATGATAATATTTTAAACCTTAAGACTCTACTGGAAAGAGTCAGTAGTGCTACAAACAAGGAGGAGAATTAACAGAACTATAAAACTTCCAATAACCTTTCTTTCTCACAAATTTTGAGAGTTGCACAGGTTATTGGAGTGGGACAAATTATTAGGTTGAATTTAAAAAAAAAAAAAAAAAATCTACCTACTATACTTGCATTTACAGATGAAGCATAAAGACCTACCCCTAGGAAGGAAGCATTTAAAAGAAAGCACATTTAAGAAGCCTAAAAAACTTGAACTCCATCACATTTGAACACTTTCCAAACGCTTTGCAGCCACATGCAGAGTGGTGATTCCACATCCTCTCCTCTTCACCTGTCCTACTAAGCACTACAGTTACAAACTAGCACAGAAATACAAGATTTGACTTACATGTGGTGTGACTTTCTCCCTGACACACACATTTTATTTACTGGCTAAGAGTTTAATCTCAGGCTGTAGTTGCATTGTACTTCCTACACACAAACCACAGTGGCCAACTTTTAATTAAAAAGAAAAAAAAGAAAAAAGAAATTGTCTCAGGGAGTCAGTAAGAAATAGGAAATTTCAACAACAAAAAAACATTTTAAAAACCCCAAAACCGTCTTTATGTTAGATGCCTTGAAAAATAACACAAGGCAAAGATGCAACAGTTCACAGAGAATGAAACTCTCACTAGGGGGTTTTAACTCCCTGATTAAACCTTCTGAATGAAAAAACACCAGTTAAGGTCATTGTTAAACATGACTTGCTCCAATGTAATAAATTTGCTCAGAAGCACAGGTCAGTGGAACTAAAGATGTCAGCAATGGCTGTGGGGATCCTCCCTGTATCACTAATGCTTATAAGCTCCGATGTTTATGAGAGAAAAGACTTTTACCAAGCAGAGCCTGCCTGACCTTAGGTAATCCCGTGGAGGAGTCTGGCACACGCTCGCTAGAAATAGTTTCCACTGACCTGATTTCACTAAGAGAGGAGGTAGACTCAAAAGGCTCACTGCAGGCAAGACTCCAAACCAGCAAACCTTTATTTCAGGTTTATCCCTGAAGCCGTGACGAGGAGTTCTCACAGCCACTCTCTGCTACGACACTAACTGCACTGCCGAGGGGACTGCCAAGCCAGGGATGCCAAAATGGCTTTGCTGGCAGCGGGCTCGCTCTTCTGCTTCCCACAGCAAAATCAAGAAGTGCTGAAGCTCACAGAGGAAAAATAAATACTTCACTAAACACACTCATGACTCCAAAGCAACTTCCAATTTGCTTTGTGTGTTGGGTTGATTTTTGGTTTTGGGTTTGTTTTTGTTTTTTGTTTTTTGTTTTTTTTTTTTTTGTGAAAGCTCCCAAAGAGCATTTTTTTACGCCTTCATGATAGAAGCATTTCACTTAAAAGTGTATTTACTTCTGGAGAAGTGTCCTGGGATGCACCAGATGTGTGGAGCTCTTTAGTAGTGACCACCTGCTTGAATTCTGGCTACTTCTCACACTGCGGCTCTTGCAGGGCTTCTGTGTAACCAGCGGTGAGTGATCACAGCCCAGCTTCAAGCGGGCAAATGCCGAGGGGAGCCGCCGAGCGGGGAGCGGGCACGGCCAACCAACCCACCTCCCCTGGCAGTCGCTGCCACAGCGCTGCCAGGGAACTGGGGAACCCCTGCGCGCCGGGGTTACCCACAGCTGCTGGAACCCACACCGCCACAGCACACCGCGCTTCACAACAGTTAAAAGGCAAGAAAATAAAAAATAACCAGCTGAACTCACAGGACCAGTCAGTACTTCTGCATCTTGTTTCGACGCGGTAGCAGAGCGCACCCGTGTTTGTTTCCACCAGCAAATGTGTTTCCTTTGTAAAAACTGGCTGTTGTACCTCTGTTACCTTCTTTTGTGGCAGATGCAAAGCCACTGAGAGGGGCAAAACCAGCAACAAAGCACTAAACACCCAAGAAAAATCCACTTCCTGAAGTGACACTTGTTTCTAAAGTATCTCCTTCTATGGCTTTTCGAGAGGGAATCAATGACCATCCCTTTCTAAGCAGTTTGCTGGGAACGCTGCTGCAGTTCTGCATCTGGGATAGAGTGAACACGTAAAGATGTGCATTCCTTCTGGAGAGCGTTGTCCAGCCAAACACCTAAGAGTTACAGACTTGACATCTGTGGGGAGGAAAACTGCTTGTGTCTCACTGCTAATTCAGCTCTGGTCTGTCCAAGACCAACAGAAGACTGAAAGCAATGCCAGTGTGTGTGGTGAGTTTCACAGAGTTTCTTTTCTGTAAGGAATGGCACCAAGAAACTCACATAGGCACAATCGTTCCCTGACATTCACTGAATGAGCTGCAATATTGGGAGACTTTGCTCAGATACTGCAAGAATTCAAAGAGGAAACCAAAGAGCTCTATGGTCTTAATCAAGCAAAGGATTAAAGCAGACAGAGCTTCATAAGGATGAGGAGCTCCTCTGAATTCCATCCAGATGATCATATGCATACGGCATTTGTTCCTGTAGCTTGCTAGATTGAAACCACATCTATTACTAGCTTCCAAAAATCCCAGTCAAGATCTTTTGCTTTATTTTAAACTTATTTATTTCTGAAGCCATAATACTACTATACTCAGTCTGAGCCTGTGATAGAAATAAAAAACAAAACCACTGTATGTTAGCATTACAATTTTCATGAAGTTGTATAGAAACCAGGCAACTTACCAGCTTAATCCTCTTAGCATAAAGAAGAAGAAGTAAGAGAGAGAAAAGAGAGAAAGAGTTAGGATTTAGTTTTCCTAGGTACAATGTATAAATGCCATGGCAAACAAAGCAAAATAAAATATGCATGTTTCTCTCAAAGACTGATTTGAATTAAGGGGGAAGCACATCATTCAGGTATTTTACAATTAGCGTTCAAAAATAAATAGTTTTCTTTGAGAAAGAAGTCAAGAAAAAAATTCCTAAACTATGTCAGCACATTTCTGTGAAATAATATAAATGAAAGAACTTTGATAAAATATATATATATTATTTTTTTAAAAAAAGTAATTAAAGTGTAGCAAACTGGAACTGGTTCTCATTAAAACCTGGCACATGGTTTTAAAAAAAATAAAATAAAAATGAAGTTTTCACCTAAGTACTATGCAAAATATGAAAAACTCTTAAATCAAGAAATTGCTGTAAGCAGCTTGAGTACAGTTTTGATTGTGGGAGTCAGTGACCAAACCTACCCTTTGCATGGGTTAGGAGAATTAACTAGTAGGGAACAAGTTTCCTTACTACTTAACCTTAAGTGATGAGTCACAGTGTGATTTTCCATTTTCCACTTTACTTAAGACATGACTCAGAAGTTACCGTGTTCTCTCCCCCTCTACCTGCATTTTACAAGCTGTGTTCTCAAAATGGGTGGACTCCAAACAAATAGCAGAACCAACTATTTCTAAAGAACCAAAAAAATGTCTTTGCAAGCACACAGCAAAAGGGTTATGCATGCAAGCTGTTAAGTGCACAAAGCAGGTCAAGAGAGCAAACAAGGTATGCCAGCTTTCAGCACCGGCACTGGGAAACACTCATTTAACACCCAGCTCATCGCTTCAGGGAACCGACATGAGAAAGCAGATGGCACTAGAACAGGTTACATGCCTATCTGAAGTGGATTAAAACTTCCTCCTTGCCACCAGATATCACCAGAGACTTAGGGGATACTGAGACTACAAATACAAGTAAGCAGACGACAGGCTTTTTGTTCCCTCGTCAAGATTCCCTTAAATCCAGTGTTTTGCCTTCTCAGTGTACATCCCCAGCCACAGTCACCCAAAAGGGTGGGAGGCTGGAGGGAGATGGGCATCACTTCATGGACTGTGTCTCGGTTGTTTCTGAAGTCCTGAGGGACAACTTTGAGGCTACCCTTCCAGCCAGGACCCTGTTTGAATGCTTCCCTGTTACCACGTGCAATAGATGTGGAACCATCAAACATGGAAGAATGAGCAAGAGGAGGCTCAGATGCTGCTCATACACGGTAAAACAGCAGTCAGGGAGTATATTTTGTCTCCATGGGTCATCACATCTGTTTAGGCACGTGCATAAAGCTCCAGTGGGCACATATCATTTACAGCTGACAAATTCAGGTTTTAAGACAGATTTATGAGGCTATCCTGGGTTTCAGCACTTTGGATTGCAGGTTTTTACTGATACCACTACAATACTTTTATTTATTCTTAGTTTTTAAAATATACCATGAAGGTGTAGTTCACATCCATACTACATTTTCCACTTTTTTACTACTTGGCAGTTTTGTGTTTGACTGAACTTTAGGAATTGGTTTATATCTTGAAGCATCAGGACAAAATCAAGTAACAGAGTAAGTTCAGGTATTATTCTTTCAGTACCATTATTATCCTCAAGCTCCTCATTACATAAGAGCAGCTCCTTTTTCACCAGGAGAGCAGAAAATACTACCTAGTCTATAATGTAAACAGCCACCATTCCTCTTCTTCCACACCCCAGACTCAGCTGGATCTTTATTAAATGTTTTCAGAGAAAGAGAGCTAATACACTTTACAGTGCATTTCTGAATGCACTATTCAGAAAAGCATGCTCTCTCATACACACACAGAGCTATAGCATTCCAGTCCCATTTATAGACTTCTTGGTACATCATGATCTTCCAAGACATGCTTTTGTGCATTAAAAGAACCACAGAAAATATTTTAGAACTAAATTTCTCTAAATGTGTGAGTTTCCGTTTCTGCCCCCTCCTCCAATAAAAAAACTCAGTCGTCTCAGAGAAACTTTATCCCCACTCCCTGAATTTTAATTAAATGCTTAAACCCACCACCTCACACAGAGACACATGCACACAGCAAAATCTTTGGTTTCTTACTCTATGCCTGTAAGAAGACAGAGCCTTGGAAGAGGCATCTACAACTTACTGTGCCAGTTTACAGAAATTTTTCATAGTATGTTCCTAATTACTCTGTATTCAGACATTCAATTAAACAAGTGGAATACAGATTAGCACATGGTTTTTAAATCATGCAAAAGCATACCTTCCCCTCATAAACGAAATATATAGGGTTATCTGTCTCTCTTTTTGCAAAGCATCCTCTACTGCTTCAGTGAAATCAGAGACTACAGAATATATGAAAAACACTGTTCCACAGAAATGCATGGCATTTAAAAAGCTGTGCTATTTAAACATCAGCCACAGCCTGCCCCTGTGAGGGAACCCGTAAGACCAGCGCCAAGAGCAAAAGCTGATCTTGTGTCTTGCTGCCCAGGTTACCCACCCACCCACCCACCCTTGCCCAAGTCCTCCCCTCCCACCCACTGGGGTGGGAAACATCTCCCCGAGCTGGGGCATCGAGATAAATCAAGAACAGGGGAAAGGATGACCCAGAGCCAAGGGCTGTGCCTGGGAAGGTGAGAAGAGAGCACCCACCCCACTGCTCAGGGCAGCCCACCCGGGAGCAGAGCCCCAGCCGTGCTGCTCGCCGGGGCTGTCAGCACTCCTCCGGCTCCAGCAAGCGCTGGTGCAGATGTAGCCTCCCAGGCTGCTCTAGGTGGAAGTCTAGCTCACTGAGCTCTACCTTCCTAACTAGATAGCACGTGGCAAGGAAACAGCAGAAACAATAAGTCAATGAAATTTAAAAAAAAAAAAAAATAAATAAAAAAAAAAAAATCACACAGTGTTTATTCCTTCCTTTAAAAAGAAAAGAAAAAAACGTCTTGCAAAAAGCTTAAGGGAAACAAAATTGCAGGTGCTCCATAGACAAAAAAAAAATATTCTTAAAACATACTGAATTCAACTAATACTAATTGACACAGGACCCAGCTTGCAGACTCACTCACCCGGAAAAATCTGTAGTGAGAATACCATAATGAAATATGTATATTCGGCTTATGTGGCACAACGTGAGGTATCCCATAGCTACGACAAAGGAGTACCTAAAAACATAACATACAGAGCACATAGTTACCAACACAAGTACCAACAAGAACTAGAATCATTCAAACTGGGTTTGGGCTTGTTTAGGAACAGAGTTTGATTTTTGCAAATTAGGTTGTTAACAAGTCTGAAGCTATGTTACAAGATCTGGCAGAAATTTTTGGAGAGGACTTATGGTTTTGTGCACCCAGCTGAAACATTACAGAGGTGCCTCCTCACTCTTCCACACACTGAGGGTAGGGAAAAAAAAAAAAAGAAGTAGGATCACCTCTAGTTGGGCATTTCAATTTCAGAGTTCTCACCCTCACATAATGTCTTGAAACTTCTGTCTGACTCAAGTATTTGAAACCAGATGACACTGTATGTGGGTCGCTGAAGTTATCCACCGCCTTTTTTACCTGTAAATGTTCTTTATTTACATGTACAACTCTTTCTCCGATCTACCAGAAACTCAAATATTTCACATTTAAGACATTTTCTCTCTTCTGATTTTGTATAAAGGCAGATAATGATACGTAGCCTAATTTTTTCAGCTCAACATGCTGAAATATGCCATATTCCAGGAGAATCATAGAATCAATTAGGTTGGAATGGACCTTTAAGATCAACAAGTCCAACTGAAGAAGCATTCTTTAAGTGGAGTGTGACAAATTCACTCTCTGTTTTTCAAAATGACCACAAAATTAAGTTAGGGAGGACAGTAGCATGCCTCTTTCTATCTTAAGAGTTGAACAGTCTGAAGACTGGCAGTGTGGCAGTGTCTAGGTGGGGCAGGTGCAGCCTTTCATACAACTAACTTCTTCCTGAGCAGAAAAGAGGATACTGGGGAGGCAAGAAGCAGATGGATATCTGGAAACAGACTGACACATGAAGCAAACTAGACAGTGCAACGGAGAGCTGGGGCACCAGAACGAAAGGCTTGCAGCACACAGATGGGCCAGGACCAGATCTGCTGGTGTCCCCTCCATCAGAAGTTAACCACACCAGGGAGAAGATGCAAAGACCTGGAGTCTACAGAACGAGACAGTATAGCCTGCCCTCCCAGCAGAGCTGGGCTGGGGGGGTCAGGCAACCCCCTAAGCACACACTGCCAAGCAGGGTCCCCCTGGACCCACGGGAGGATTGATCATGGTGGAGAACTAAAGGGGAAAATCAGACATGAGGAAAAGTCAGTCAGAGACTGAAAATGAGCCAGGCCTTTGTCAAATCATGGCTGGCTTTAAAAGAAATGAGTTTTTCCTCCCTGGGGACTAATAAAGTGCAGTGTGTAAATGACAGTGAGGGATAGGCAAGGCAACCTTGCAGCTCACGTGGCCCACAGCAAACAGCTGGATGAAAGGCAGACCGAGGGGACACAACAGCTCCTTCAGGAGATTCAGAGCTGAATTTATCTTATTTTATCTGGGTCAGACATCCAGACCAGCTTCAGCAAGGTCCTTGGGCTCCCTCCCATCAACAGGGAACAGCAAGCATCCCTCCTCCAACAGCAAGTCACCCAGCTCAGACTTCTAATAGTGATGGATGAGATGAAATATCTAAAATAAGCCCCAGTGCTTAAATGTAAAGCACCTAGATCGAAAGGGGGGCAAGTGGGGACAGACATACTGAATTGCTGCTGCAGCTGGGAGCATTTCTGATGTGAGATTAATTTGTCCACTTACAGGTCTTGAAGGCTGGCAGTCTCACCAGAGAGCAAACTAGCAGAAAACAACCAGGGAGAGGAACATGCATGTTAAACTGTGTCGTTCCTTGTTCACTTCCACTTGAGTTTTGGGGGGGAAACCCCAAGTCTTGGAGCCTCAGTGTGAAGGATCCAGTGCTCTTACAGGCCATCTGTATGAACAGGTCCAGCCCTTAAACTGACATTTTTCAAGCTTATACCCGAGCAGCTTGAATATACCGTTATTTTGCCAAAATTAATAATGTAGATGTACTTTGAGTCACGCTGCTACAGCTAGTGGAATACAGAAGAAGATCCTCCCAATCCTCCCAGCCCTCCTAATGTTTTTCAGCATGTTGGATTGCTATTTCACATTGACTCAAATCAACATATGACTATCTCACAGCAGCGGGTGACATATGAACCAGCTTAGTTTGTGTTGCAGCATACAGCTATTTTTCCCATTGTGACTAATTGGCTAAACAGTAGGAGTGAGGGGTTTTCCTGTTGCAACTGTGCCCGTTTCCCTACCACCACCTCAACTTGTCTCAGAAGACAAGTATTGGATGATTCCCTCTGTAGACTTGGCTCTTCTGATCTACAGTCAGTAACTCCTGCTTTCCCCGCAAGTGATGGGCAAGGACAATGACCAGGAGACAAGTAGCACATTTTTCCTTCTGCACTGCATTTCTTTCATAAACACTGTCCAATTTTTTTTTTTTTTAAGTATTAATTAAATCTGAACTTCTGGGCTTTGCACTCTGTGAGGGGGTGGAAAAAGCTTCCTTGATTAATACCTATCTTGCTGGTACAAAATGCTAGTGACTTCTATAAACAAGCCTGTTGTTTATGGTTCACATTTCTAAACCATCCTAGAGAAATCATAAGTGATGGTTCCCATTTGGATATTAGAAAGGCATAGCCTCGGGAAGTGCTAAAGAAGAAGGGGAGATGATTATCTGAGCACCAGATCCTCAGACAGCCCTGGCAACAAGCGAAGAAAGGGTTTCTGTTCCCCAGCCCAGACAGATGTGGATGTGAGCATTCATCAGCATCTACACAAACAGCCATGCAGCATCAAGACAGAAATCACCTGTAACACACCCAAACCACAGTATTGACCACATGCTGTTAGGGAGACCAACACAAAGGTAAAGAAGTGAGAAGCACAGCCAGCTCATCCTTCTAGTCTGCTATAAAGTTGCAGTTTTACAAATAAAAATTTCCATTTGTGCAGATTGATGGGAAGCAAATGACTCCACCTACACAATTTTTAAAACTCCCGCGTGCTGACCTCTAAGACAGAGTATGGTACCCACAGAAGAAGGCTCAGTGACTGAGCAGAGACGTTCTTCTACATGAACTTCCTCTTAGGCAGTGAAAGAAGCAGATATAACTACCAAGTAGTCTTCATCTTCATATGAAAGTGCTTTTTGTCTTTTTGCAGGGAAGGCACTCGTTTGATCAAGCACTTCAGGAGTCTTAGATATCTTCCATCCTCCAAGACATTTGTATAGGGAAAAGAAAAATCCCATGGTGGAGAACTTCTCGTGATGACGCTGTAAGCTTCTGTTTCAAAGCAATGACATTTACGGTATTTTCTACTTTTTCAAGCTCAAAGCCCAGTACCAAATGCAAGACTTAATTTTGTAGATCACTAAGTTAAGTTGCCACAGTGACCTCATTTGAACCACTCAACTCAAGAATAAGTGGAAAATACCTAAAGGCCAAACAGCAAGGGGGGGAAACACATTAAAAAGGATTATCAAAAGCGATCCTCAAGGACACAAGACCAAGGAGAATATGACTTCATTATAATCAGGAAACCAGAGGTTTGGGCATAAATTAAGCCTGCAGAAGCCAACTTCTAAGGCCAGCAATTTCATAGGGGAACGCAATATATCATTGCAAAAAACACAGATTGAGATTACAGCTGCTTCTGTAACTGAACAAACAAAGCTCCTGTAAGTAACTGGGAAAGAAAAGCAGGAAAGAAGAGAAAGTGGTCCCAAAAAATCCTCACACTTCTCCATGGAAGGAGAGAGGGGCAGCTTCAGACTTGCAGCCATATGAGCTCACCTGTGGATGTTGGGAATACTTGCCATATTCATAATGCCATAGTTCATCATCACCAGGACAAAAAGATGAATGGAATACCTTGAAGACAACAAAATGAGTATTTAGGTAATTTCTATGTGACCTGGAAGGGCTGGCAGTTCAGAGCAAGGGAATATTTTTCTATGCAAATGACATAAATGTGATGTCATATCAGGGTATCACTGAACATGGATTATCACAATGACATCTTTATAGCCTGAATATCCAACATAGATTAATACTTATGAAAAATATATTGTCAGTGAGTTTCACTGAGAGAAAGAGAAGCCTTGCTCAAAGTGTACAATCAAGCTGGATGCATCTTTTCCAAAAGAGATATATTTACAGCAGACTGGTGTGGCTTTAACTTCCAGAACAAACAACACAGATTAAATGCTTCATTTACAAGTACTTTCATGGCTCATTTTACTTTGAGGGTTTGGGATGGTTATGCGGGTTAGGAATTTATTTACTTTTTTTTTTTTTTTTAGGATAACACTGGAAGTACCTTAAGACTAAGAAGAAGTAGTCCAGAAAAGCTGATGTGAAGTTTAGAAATATTTTTACTCAAGCCTTGTCTACCTGGTGACTAATACTCACCACCCAAAGCAGAAGACAGCGAAGTATATTCCAAAGAGAGTGGCAAATGCATGGCGAACAGCAGAGCTGGCATGACTGGGACCCAAGTAAATACGAAACCAAAACGCAGCCAAAAGTGCAAATAGTTGGCAGGCTACAAAATTGATCTGTAAAAGACAAAACAAAAAAGGGTTGTGATTCTTGGAGGAGGGGAGGAATGAGTCTCTCTGTTCTCAGAACAAAGAGTGGAGGCAGGAAAAGGAGAGGAAAAAAGTGAGAGCAATTAATCTTTTGTTTCTTAGCTTTCTCACTTGTGAGCACAAGCGGTAACTTTCCTTGGCCAACGACAGAAGGGATTAAACAAGCATGTAGCCACCCAAAAACCCAGACAAGAGGAAGAGCAGGCTCCAGCTACCCGAGGTACAAGTGGGCTCTGGGTGGTTCTTGCTCCCCTCGGGGCAGGGCTCTGCTCCACTGCCACGCCAGCCCAACCCGGGTGCAGGGGGACATCACCCCCATCTCTGCCCTCTTAGTGGGAAGCCAAGAAGCAGACTGGGACTCTGGAGCATTGAGCTAGTGCTTGACTTCCTCCACAAACCCCAAAGCAAGGGCAAAACCAACAATCCTGATGTGATGCTATTTCACAAGCTGTAACTGGACAGCCTTCTTAGCTCTGCTCCACAGCATCCTCTAAGCAGGCCTTTCAACTTACTATTTTTTTTCTGCAGTTCAGAAGTGCAAAGAAAACAACTTTGCTCTAACATCAAGCAGAGAGGTAAAGGAAAATGCTTCCCAATTGTTCTTTGGCTATTGCATGTCTCTGTAGAGTGTGGGAAGCAGTCTGGCCCCATTGTGAGGAGGTTGCAATGGCACTGGGAGCAGAAGGCAGGTATATGTGGAAGGCAAGGAGTCCATAACTAGAGCCTACTCCTATCAGACACAAGGACAAGAAAAACCTTCAGTGTCCTCAGAGCAAAACTGACACCAAGCTGCCCTCTTCAAGTCACCTTCTCTTTGACAGCCTTAGCAAAAAATCCCAGAAGTCAGAGAAACAACAGAGCTCAGGATCTGTCTCTAACAGAGCAATACAGCATTAAGATACAACACTTCTAAATCCAGCCTGGACCCTAGGCAGCTGGAGTTAAATTCACTTATTCAGCTGCAGTCTTTTGGGGTTGGGTTTCTTTGGGGGGGTTTTGTTCGTTTACTTGTCTTTTTTTTTTAAAAAAAAAAAACCCTCACTCTCCAGCATCAACTCATCCTACACTGAGCAAAACTAAATATGCTTCAGCATTTAAACAATCATTTGGGTTAGAGCATTATCCAAAACTATCAGTCCAAGACAGGATATATCTCACTCAGAAATGCTCTGACATGCTGGCTATCCAGAGGTAGCTGGATTCAGCCAGGCTTCTTGTCAAAAACATTTACAATGTGTTTAACAAGACACTGCAGTCCCAAACTGCTTTTATTCTGGTGGACTACATCCAGCATGGTGCTCTTCAAGCAAATGTTGTTATTAAAGGTTTGTTGGCTACATTGCTGCAGTCCTTTATTTCAGTGATGCAAGCAGCCATGCAAGAGAATAATAAAATAAATTAAATACTTAGATATGCTGAATTTTAGTTCTTTGGAGCAGAGACAATATCAATTTATTTCTTGTTCATGTAAACAATCAGCATTTATAACAGATGGTATCGTAGAACTATACCCAAAAGCAAATGATTAGCAATTTCTTATTATGACAATACTTTACACTTTATTTAAATAGGAAAATTCTTATTTTATGTGCAAGGTTGAAAAACAGAACAAAATTTCATGGATCTCACAAAACCCAGATGTGGCAGTACAAATCCCAAACTCTCACCTGGTTTATTACCATACAGTTCCACTCAAAACACTCACTCCTCCCTCCCCTTCTTCCAGAGCTGAAGGAACCACAGAAATGGCTGAAGAGAAGACAGCCCCTCCAGGGCTGCTCTCATGGCACCCTTTCTAAACCAGTTCCCAAGACTGATGGATGCCAGTTCATCAATGACAATTCAGTGAACCTTAAGCCCATCTCAGCCTGCTCCCTCTTAGGGTCACGCTAGCACATCCAGTGCAGCTCTACTTCGTGGCATGCAGAACCCCTCTGATTCGGTATAAAGAAGGAAAGTGCAGATACTCCAAGAAACCTGATGTGGCTGATTGCTTAAAAGACAATACCCTCTTCTGTGCAGAGTCAGTCACGGAAGCTTTACACCAGTAAAAACCATCACGATAAGCAAGTGTTTGCTTTTTATTTCCACCCAGCTCTTGTATGTTCTGTCCAAGATGTTAAAGATGCTGGGACTTCAGAGGTTCACACACACACAGCAAAATGAGAGTGCAAGATCTCACAGCAGGCACACTTGTAGTAGCATTTACGTAGCTAAGGCAGGTAGCTGCAGCAGCAAGCAAGCAGAAAAGATTTAATCACAAGCTAACGTACAGTATATGATAGCACAGCAGCCTCTCATACACACACTGTTTCTTGCCTATGCTATCAGTTCCTCTGATCATGTGCTACCTGTGCTACTTGGATTAAAATTAGCACAGGTACACCCAACCACACCACTGTCAAATCTTCATTTGGTTGTGCAAACTAACCAAGACAATTTCTTCTCTGCGCTGTTTTTGCAAGAGTTGGAGTAAAGCCCTGTACCAGGATAAAAGCAAAAGCATGTGCTAGCCTTACGTTTCAATCAGCTTTCAATTTACAGAGGTTTTTTCTGCAGAGCAGCCAAACATCACAAACCCAATGTACTTAGCAAGCACTAATTTCAGAATACTAGTTTACCCTTTTTGTACTGAATTAAGCTAGACACTACCGTACAGAGGAATGACTACAACACACCATTAAAAGTTACAGGTATGATTCAGAAACCTGAAGAGTAACCTTCCTTTTCAGGATAAGTGACAGGGATGGTGTCAGAGAGGCACAAACATACACCAGAATTCCTGAGTGTCATATGAACACTATGTGACTTTTCTCAATAGCATAAAGGAAGTGAGAAGTCTGCACCCAATGAATTGCTTGGGAGACCAACTCCCAGATACAAAAAATAAAAATGCAGTCTGAAATGCAGAAAGAGAAGACTTGCTCACTGGCTGAAAACATTCACACTTTTGCCTTTGCCCTCCCTTCTGAACTGCAGCCACCGTAACTCTTCTGAATCTTTCCAGGTTCCTTTCCTCCATAGCCATGTTTTTCTAGCAGGCAGCACTGCCCCTAAACACAACATGCTGCATTTGTTTTTCTTTCTCTACCATTAAGGCTTTGAGGGGGTGGGAGGTGTATTTACAGTAACATACATATTACAAACAACATGATCCTTTTTAAAGGATTCATCAGCAGAGCAGTTGGGAGAGGGATACCTATGAGCAAAAAAGCCAGGTAAATACAATTCCTGATAAAACCTTTCTGTCATCCACGAGGTATTTGGCACATCTCAGACAAAAACATTGGGAAATAGAACTGGAGAATACTTCTTGTATCTGTCCCTCTATAAACCTGTACTCAGGATCTGAATGCACCAAGATGACCTCTGATTTCTGTGGGCTTCAGTCTGAAGATGAAACTTAGCTGCACAGAGCTCACTGCAAGGGCTAGCACATAGTTTACTGCAGGAGTAATTACTTCCTGAGTAATTGCAGAATACTTCTGCAGATCATTCCTTTCTATGTTTACCTGAGCCAAGCTGAAAGTATGGATAAAACAGGCCAAATCTTTTCTTAACTATAACTTGTCACAAAGAGAGGGAGCCAAGTTGTTTGTTTCTTGGGTTTGAGGAATGTAAGACAAATGTCAGGACACCAGTAAGACTGGGGTGCTCCTTCCCAAGTGCTGAGAAAAATTTTCTGCCCAGCAGGCTGAACTCCGTATTTAAAAATGAGTACTACCTCTGGGATCAGACCAGATCTGGTCTGCTCTCCATAGAGTAATAGAGGGATACGATAGCTTTTCATAGGTCTACCACCTCTAGTTATTTATATGTAACATTTTAAACACGTGCAGCATTCACATGCATACACACAAAGACTGCCACTTCATCTGACAGTGACTTTACTGCATTCTATTAAACATTAATTTTATTCTTCATTCTACATATTTAAGGTACCTAAGTAAACAGATCCCTAAGATTTTAAGAAATGTTGTACAGCATCATAAGTGAAGTAACAGACACACTTTCCTCCCTTTCCCCACCCAAAGAAAAAAGGGTTCATATTATTCCCTTTTGGTTACTTCCACTGTTGCTAAAAACACTTTGTAAACAGTAAACTGAGGGCTTCTGAACATTGATGAATGGTGTCCACACAAAAATAACATGGAAAAAGAAAAGAAGTTATACAGGAATTAACCCTTCTTATTCTGACCCACCATTAGAAGTCATGTCACCCGTGTTTTTAGCTGGTCACATCTATTCAGTGGTGCCATCAAATTTTTCAACTTTGCAAGCATAAAAGAAACACCTTTGCTTTTACAGTAATTTTCTTCCATGCTCTAGCAATAAAGATGTAATAAAATTAGAAATCAGAGTACATGATATGTTGCCAAAACAAGATACTGTCTTCCCTTCATTTTCCATGATTAAACTTTGGAAGACAGAAAGGCAGTCTCATCACTGTATCTTGCAACAACATCTGGAAGACCTGTATCTGAGACACGGCCAGCTGAAGACAGCCTTGCAATGCAGAAACAGTATCTGCACTTTTAAAGAGAGAGAGAATCTGGAACAGCTCCAGCCCAACTGGGTTGATGGTTATTACTGTCTGGTAAAGGAATTCTTTAATATCTAATAGACTTGACTTTAAAAGGACAGATGGGTCGAGAACACGTAAACATCGGTTTTGAACAACAAGAAACGCAATAAACCATAGTTCCTCCCTTTATCCATTCAAATTTTGTAGTAATAACAACTCAAAGCGATGTTTAGGTTGCAAATCTTAGTTTTACACAAAGCTAGCAATCAGGTAAACCAAATGACCAAGCACCTATGATGCTGACAAAAGATTAACCAAACATAATTGTTTCAAGATCCCCCTGTGCTATTATGCTAAAATCAAAGCCCTCAAAGTACATAAAATGTTAGTGCCATCTGCCTCGAGCCTTTGCATCTTCTCCCATCCTTAACAGGGTGAAACC